ACCCTGAGCCGGTGAGATTTGAACCGCTGACCTGCTGATCTAGCAGTAGCCTGCAGTGCTGCATTTAACCACTGCGCCACCTTGGCTCTTTCTTTCTTTCTTTTGGCTCTTTCTTTCCTTTCCCTCCTTTCTCCCTCCTCTCTCTTCTTCTTCCTTCCCTCTTCCTTTCCTTCCTTCCTTCTCCTCTCCTTCCTTCTTCTCCCTCCCTCCTCCTTCCCTCCTATCCCTTCTTCTTTCTTCCCTCTTCCTTCATTCTCTCTTCCTCCCCTTCCTGCCCTTCTTCTCTATCCCTTCTTCTCTCCTTCCTTCCCTGTTCCTCTCCTTCATTCCTCTTCCTTTCTTTCTTCTTCCTTCTCTACCTCCTTTCTCCCTCCTCTCCCTTCTTCCTCCCCTCTTCCTTTCCTTCCTTCCTTTCCCTCCCTTCTTCCTTCCTTTCCCTCTCCTTCCTTCATTCCCTCTTACTACCTTCTCCTCTCCTTCCTTCCTTCTCCCTCCTTCTTCCCTCCTATCCCTTCTCTCCTTTTTTCCCTCTTCCTTCATTCTCTCTTCCTCTCCTTCCTGCCCTCCTTCCCTATCCCTTCTTCTCTCCTTTCTTCCCCCTTCCTTCCCTCTTCCTCTGCTTCCTTCCTCTCCCTCCTGCCCTCCTTCCTTCCTTCCCTCCCTCATCCTAGCTGGGGAATTCTGGGAGTTGAAGTCCATCCATTTCAAAAGTTACCGAGCACAAGAAATGCTGGTTTAATACCTATCGAGTAGCTTGGCGGGTGACTTTTGCTCACCTTCCTGGTTTTTGCCCCCCCAGTTTGGCTGCAGTAGCGCAACCCAGGCCTCACCCCTGCCCGACCAGCTGGAGCCCGTGCTAATCTCCTCCCCCAGCCAGGAGCCCCTCGTCAAGCGAGAATACGACCAGTGCAAGATTCAGGTAAGTTTGACGGCGTGAAAAAAAACCCTCCTGTGTTGAGCTCCTATTTTGCATGCAGTCAAATCTGGAATTGGAAAGAATAAGCTGGCTTTTGTAAGTTAAGTCCTCGACTTACAACCATTCATTTAGTGACTGTTCAAAGTTACGACGACACCGAAAAAATATTAACGTGGCTGTTTGTCACACGAAGGTTGCAGCATCTCACAGTTTACGTGATCAAAAATTGGCAACTGACTCATTTATGACGGTTACAATGCCCGTTTGGCAACCCTCTGACCAGCCGTGTTAATGGGGAAGCCGGACTCGCTTAAGGACCGTGCGACTAACTTAACAACCGCGGGGATTCCCTTAAACAACTGTCTGGCGAGGAGGTTGATAAAAAAAGGGGCCAGTGGAAACATTGGCCTAAACGGTGGTCCCTAAGTTGAGGACCACCTGTGAGTGGGCATTTGATTTTGCTCCGGGCAGGTGAGACTCCTGGATGGCACCTCCCTGACTCACACCTTCAAAGCCAAGGAGCAACTGGCAGCCGTGCGGCTGTACGTGGAGCTGAACCGCCAAGATGGCGGCGAAGACCCTTTTCACCTCCTGACGAGTTTCCCCCGGCGGGTTTTCACCGAGGAAGACATGGAAAAGCCCCTGCAGGAGCTGGGTGAGTTTGGGCTCAAAGGGGAGTTGGGGGCTTCATTCTTAAATGTTTTTTGAGAGGCCCAACGGAGAGCGTTTTAACAAATCGCATCCCAGTGTGGTTTGCTGGCAGCAGTGCCTTGGATAGAAAGTCCCTACAGAGAGTGCTGAGGACAGTGGAGATCATAGGAAGCTTGTTTCCCTTTATTCAGGATATTGCTTATAAGAGCAATGTGCTGAGAGCTCAAAGCAGCGTTAGACACCCCACACACTCCAGTTTACCACCTGTTTTGGTTGCCTCCCTTCTGGGAGGAGGTTTTGAAGTTATCTCTAGCATGACAAACACACACACACACACACACGATTCTGTAACAGCTTTGTTCCCTAGGCCATCCATCTGCTAAACTCACAAGCTTCGTTTTTCTGGTCATAAACATGGATACGTTTCAAACCAGACTGTTATTTCTCTGTGTCATGTATGCGGGGATATATATAGTTTTGTATTTATCTTGTCATCTTTATGTACTGCAAACTTGGAGGTGGTGACCCTTTTAAGAGGTGAACCCAATGAAATTTCATTTTTATGCCAATGCTGTTTTTATGCCAATTGTCATATATGCCAATTAAGTGTACATTCAAAGTGACAAGTTATTATTCTATTCTATTCCTATTCCATGCTATTAATTCTATTTCTATCCTTGTTCTATTTTAATTCTAATTCTATTCTATTAATTCTATTTCTATTCTTATTTTATTTCTATTTTTATTCTTTTAATTCTATTCTATTAATTCTATTTCTATTCATATTCTATTACTTCAATTTCTATTCTATTATTCTCACTCTATTCCATTATTCTATTTCTATTCTTATTTTATTCCTTTAATTTTATTCTATTAGTTCTATTATTCTTACTCTATTCCATTATTTTAGTTCTATTTTTATTCTTTTAATTCTATTCTATTATTCTTACTCTATTCCATTATTCTATTTCTATTCTTATTTTATTTTTTATTCTTTTAATTCTATTATTCTTACTCTATTCCATTATTTTAGTTCTATTTTTATTCTTTTAATTCTATTTTATTCTATTTCTATTCTATTATCTATTTCTATTCTATTATTCTTACTCTATTCCATTATTTTAGTTCTATTTTTATTCTATTAATTCTATTTCTATTCTATTTAAATTCTACTCTATTAATTCTATTTCCATCCTAATTCTATTATTCTATTTACATTGCTGAGAAATTCTGTTTTAGCTTTCACTCTCCTGGAGTTTTTATTTCAAAACGACCTGGGGGTGGATGGGAAAATAAAGATCAGATTCGGTCTCCAAATCCCCTTTTTCGCTTCCCCCTCCATTCTCTACTCCTTTTCCCCCACCCATTCATTTTCGCCCCCTCTTCCTCTCTTTCTCCAGGCTTGGTGCCTTCCGCCGTGTTGATAGTGGCCAAGAAGGGCAACAGCTGAGCGGCTCTATTCGCTTGCGACGGTCGGTTGTGGCTTTCCCCCCTTCGCACCGGTTCTTGGAGGCTGACCTTATAGCCCGTAGTCACTGGGTGCCACCGTAGCGCTCCAGTCCCCAATCCCTCTCCCCAGAGACTCTTGAGACCCAGGGATACCGAAACAGACACTATGTGGGTAGAAGAGTTGGCGAAACCAGCGTTTGCCACTGGATGCCCCCCCAATGCCAGCCCCGAATAAAATCTCTTCACCCTGGTGTGCCACGCGTGGATTTCTTTCTCGCCGGAGGAACCTCAGTGTGGGATCTGGTCTGCCCAGCGGACAGTCCCTCCCTCCCTCCCAAATTCACACTCTCACCCACATCCAGTTGTGGGTCCTCGGCGCCTGGCACCGCGAGGTAGACTGTCTCGGAATAAGGAGGCTGGATTGTAGCTGAAAACCTGCACAATCCAGATCAGCGGTCGTATTCAGCTGGTTCCCTCTGGTTTGGGCAAACCGGTGGCTGTGGGAGACCCCGTCCGCCCCAAGGTAATGCGCGAGCACTGCGCACGCTCAAAAGGCAATGCGCAGGCACGGCGCGTGCACTCACATTTGCTAACTGGAAGGGAAGGGAACCCCACTGACGAGCCAGATGCACCCGAACTTATGTTTCCCGTAACTTCCCCCAGGAGCTGTCGTCACGAATTAAGGGAAATTGGGGTTCAAAGTTTTTAAAGTGAGGTTTCACGGACGGAGCAAGGAGAGAGAAGACGCACAAACACACGGGGCAAATTCGGAGGTGTGGTTGTGTTTGTTTTTTTTTTCCCCATTCACCCAACAAGCATGATTTTACAACAACGGAATTGGCAATACAGCTTATTCCATTTACCGAACACAATCAACTCCCCGTCCTCCTTGGATACGATCGTCCCAAAGCGTCGTCATCATAACTGACAGTTTTGACACAGGGGGGAAAAACAGACACTCGTAACAACAGCAGCCATTTTCCACGGAAGATTAAGAGCCGCAATGTTTCTGTCTGGTCTTAATGCGTCGCAGGATACCCCAATCTCCAAAATGAAACATTTCTTTTCTTCCCCCTTTGCTCTGGGTCGCCTCCAGGTAGCTGTTGGGAATTCTTCGCCGAGGAAGTAACGCCTTCCTCATCCTACTTTGGCTGGACAGGATCCAGGACGATTACGATTGCCCAAGCATAGAGACCTGGAAAGAGACCAAAATCGTTGGCAAAAGCGGCACAAGCGAGTTCATTTCATTTCTGCAGAAGCCAAAAAGAGTAAAATGAATAGAAATAGAATAAATAGAACAGAGCAGAATGAGTAGAATGGCAATAGCACTTAAGACACTTCTCTAAGCGCTTTACAGAGTCAGCCTCTTGCCCCCAACAATCTGGGTCCTCATTTGACGCACCTCAGGAGGACAGAAGGCTGAGTCAACCTTGAGCTGGTCAGGATTGAACTGCTGGCTGTGGGCAGAGTTTGCCTGAAATACTGCATTCTAACAGGAAGGAAGGAAGGAAGGAAGGAAGGAAGGAAGGAAGGAAAATAGCAATAGCCCTTAGACTTATATACCACTTCACAGTGCTTTTACAGCCTTCTCTAAGCGGTTTGCAGAGTCAGCCTCTTGCCCCCAACAATCCGGGTTCTCATTTGACCCACCTCGGAAGGCTGAGTCAACCTTGAGCCTGGTGAGATTCGAACTGCCAAATTGCAGGCAGAAGGCAAGTCAGCAGAAGTAGCCTGCAGGACTGCATTCTAAACACTACACCACCATGGCTCTA